GAACTAGTTAATGAAGTTTCTGCGGTGAATGGGAAGGACGAGGAAGCATCAACAAAGCTTGGCATGGGACCATTTCTTGACGGAGAAGTAATGGAAGGCCCTTGCGATCCATTGCCATTATCGGAGAACTCACAGTTAGAGCAGTAAAGACTTCAATTCAGCAACCACGTGCTAGTATCTTTTGGAAACATTTCTAGGAGTATGATGTAGACTCGTAGGTTAGCAAATGACGGAGTACGTATATACTATGCGGAGTAGGTTAGTTTTGGAAAGGATCCTCCTGAACGGCCGGTTGTTCCAATGCCATTTGAAAGAATGCCTCTGGCATCGCAATGGCCTGGGGGCATAGGTTGACGATCCCGCCAAGTTGCTTTTGGATTAGATTTGGCTTCCAATGGTTCCTCCAATCGACACAATAACAGATGGTTGTCATCAGCTTCCTGTTTCAGTTGACGCCTACTTCAAGTTGAAGACTATCTTCGACTCGGCTGGGTTCGGTTTGGACGTCATGTTAAACTCCAAGGGTGCATTTTGTCATTTTTCTTCGAGCCTTCCTGTTCGAGTTCCTTGCGTCTCATTTTGGACAATTGCCGATCCATAGCGCCTCACAAATCCTCCGGAGCATTCATACATTTTCCATTGCATTGAAAAAGCTGAACATGAAGAAGACTTCGTCCATGAGCAAGCTCCTGTCTTGCACGAAGCGACAGAGTGCCAGCAAGCTCAGTCCTTTCGATCACTCGTCTATGATCCGCAAGTCCAATGCGGCGCTCGGATTCACTACAAGAGCGACGAGCAAGCGCAAGCTCGATGATCTCCGAATAGCCCTCGAGCGACACCATAATGAAGTGGACGATACAAAGAACGCAACATTCAGTCCTCGATTCGTCGACCAGTCCTGCAACAATCGCGAGCAGGACGAAACCCAATACCGCTTCTTTCGTCCGTCCAACCTCTCTCCTGCATCGCCGATTCGAGGTCAATCAAAGTCGCCAACTATCCCCAGCACAGACCTTCCACCTTCCCTCCCACGACGCTCAGGTTCAGTAGAAAACACTGGCGTTCCGCCTTTGTCGACTTCCATAAGCCAACAGCAACACCAGAATGCTCGATTCAGTGCTTTCACTTCCGAGGTTGCCTCCCGAAACGCACCTTTGCCTACTCGCAACCTGCGCGGCGACAGCAATCCCTTTTGGGATTCGACAAGTCACATTGACACGCCTCCTAGCTACCATCGCCAAGTGAGTGTCAACACGCAACTGAACAATATGAGCTTGAGTGTGCCGCGCAGAAACAAGCTTGGACCTGATTCCAAGGCACCAACCCTTTCGCTACCCTTTCAGCGCACCGTCGAGATTCGTCCCGGCGTCATGGCCAAGGTGCGAGGTGCGCAGGAAACGTGGAGCTGCCTGCAGCGAGACTTTTACCAGGCGTCACCCTGCCAGGCTTGCAAGGTTGAGCTGACTAGCATTCAGAATCTGGATTATGTACTCTGTCCCACGTGCGGACAACTGACTGCTCTTGGAGGAGGTGGCGGAGTCGGTCTTGGATTTACATTTAGCGACTTGCGCAGGTGGGAACTTGGAACCCAACGAGTTGGGGCGAGAATCGATCGTTTAACACTGTACTCCTAGTAAATATTGCACTGCCTACATATAAACATAAACACGTAAAGAGATCATACTGGTACTATACTATCCGCACTAAAAGCTTCCGTCGCTCCATAACTCCATCGGAGGCGATCAGTACATACTCGCACGATCAAAGCAAGGCAAGACACTTGAAAGAGACAAACGCATTTCGAAATAGTGTCAATTGTCCCTCCCAATATCCTATTGCCCCTGGAAAAACAACCAAAGAAAAGCAATCAATGAGGCAGTTGATCGTGCGTCACTACCTTTTGCGAACGTCGAGGAAGATTGAGGATGAGTTCTTGGGCGTCAGAAGCTATAGCCACAGGCCCAAGAAGAATGTCCCGGACTATCCTTCAAGTCACAATGACTGGAGTTTCACGAGCAAGCAAGAAGTCGATTCAAGTCGATTGCAGTTGATGATTCATGTTCGATGGTGCAATAGATTTATCTGATCATTCTACCTGCCTAGGTACGAATCTCATAATTCACGCGGTGCACACATAGATATCAAATTTTTATCGAGACATGCCTTCCTTCGTCAATGAACTCCTGATTAGCAAAGGGATTGACGCGCGCCGGATAAGCGTTGTGTTTGACAATGCTCGCTTGCATACACATGCCTTCTCAAAACCAACGTTGCCGCGCTACAAAAACAAGAGGCACATTGTTGCAGTGAAGGAAAATCGGTGGTCACCTGATGCGATTCACTCCAAGGATTGCTTACGCTTGCCCTCACGGCGTAGGTCCGTTGAAGTGAAGTGTCTGCTCCCTTTTCAAGCATTGCGCGCCAAAGGCTGCAGCGGCAGCATCGACAATCCAGAATCAAGCCAAGCTCCGCCGCAAATGCCTAGACGCCGATCAAGTGTTGAGGACTTTAATTCAACCTGCGAAACATCAAAGATCACTGTTATGTTGCTTGACAAGCTTTCTATCTTCGAAGGAGATGACGAGTCATTGAATTCTTTTCGACAGCTACCGACGCAGCGGCGCAGTCTTGCAGCCGATGCCGCATGACATCTGTGCTCTTTTCTGGGAGTCCGACGCACAGCTCTCAAAGTCCCTGTCGTCTTAGATGAAGCAGCACGTCGCTAATGAGCTGATTTATGCAGACACGGGCTTGCTGGCTGAGGATTTGTAGCCATGTCCTTCCAGCAACTTTCAGTACTCATCGATCTACTCAAGGAACGGCAATGTAACTTCTGCATTCAAGCACCTGCAATTTATGCACAATAGCTTCATTATCTCTGAACGATTGCATACATTACCGCGTATGTAGCCGTAGATGATCGGAGAAAATGAATTCCTCCGGGGCAGGCTTGTCTCATACTCTGCGTCTCTTCGAGCATGCCACATCCTGCCTCATACTCTGCGTCTCTTCGAGCATACCACATCCTCACTCGAATGTAAATCTGGCGGACTGACCATTGGCTTCATATAGCGTTGGGGATCCGTCTCATGTATAGCGAACGCACTGCTCGTATTCTTAACTGCAAAATCACTGTTGAGAACAAACCATGAATATGCCATGAGATACCAAAACATTCACATAGTAGTTTGTATCAAATATACTATTCTGTCCAATGCTCGCAAAATAAAGTACATAGACAAACTAGATGGGTCGAAACGAAAAGAAGGGTCCGCTCGGGGAATCGAACCGGTGATTTCTCACCAGTACTGCTTCGAAACCTATTGTTTGCCCTCACAGCTTCGTCCATCGAGAATTCGACCATGACGACGGACGATCAAATGCGACCCCTCACATAACGACGCATCCATATCGCTCGTAGCAGTATCGTTCTGCATTGCCTTGACACTCATAAACGTTACTATTCTCACGCGCGCTTACATTTGTTCATTATTGTTCATTTGATAGCCAAGGCATTTTGTCGTGTCCAACATCGGCACTGCTAATATCCGCTCCTCTGCTCTGCATGTCGCGAACCATTGTGCCCACCATGAGGGCGAATGGGAATGCCATCAACTCTACTTTGCAATTTTTCTAATAACGCCTATTGAAAAGTTTGCAATGGAGTCAGGACTTGACGAGGCTGGAGTTCCGAAACTCCCAAGTTTTCGGAAGAGAATGTACGGCTTGCGGACAACGACGATTTTAAACGAGGCCAAGAAAGATGCTGAGCAAGGGTAAAAATGAATTCGCAGCCTCCATTGGTTGCATCCAAGTCGCCCGAGGAGCCTGCTAAAGCGCTCGCAGCAGATGATGCCAGCAAGTCGCAGAAGCCAGTAAATGACAAAACTGTCAAGCTTAGTCAAATGCTTGCGGGGTTTAAATAGCTGGTAGCGCAAGCTGGCGCATCTCTCAAGCAAGATACGTCTGGCATGGCGTCACGGTCAGCATCAGCGTCAAGCGGCGATAATGGCATGGAGGAAGAAGTGAATGGAATGTTCACTGGATTGAATGAGTATAAGATCTTCGGACTGCAAAAGAAAAAATGATGGGCAATACGGTTGCGACACTTAACAATTTCGTCAAGGCTCGGCGCTGTTACGACGCTATGATTGGTGGGGACTACATGAACGCCAGCGGTACAAAATCACCTTGAATTGCTGCCGCTACTACATAAACAACACGAACAAGGCATTGTCTCGTCGCAGTACCATGCGTGCTATCTGCTCTATTGTCCAGCGAGACCCTACCAACAAGGGCCATGTTGTTGCTGCCGAGAGGCGCGACTCCTGAACATGTTAGGGCGCGTCACGTTCCAGGTTCTGCCTGAGTCGCATCCCGTACGTGTTTTTTGACGTGTAGGATGGAGTCCCCTGGCTGCTCGCCTGTTACCTCGATGCCTTGGGATTCTCCACGTGTATAGTGTTGGACTTGGCCTCCGTAGGCCTGCACGAAGTCAATCTGCCTTGTATGCTATTTGAGTTGGAGTGCCTTGGCTATGATGAGATGGATAGTGGCCCAGTATGCGGCCGGTGCATAGGTCTGGTTTTAGTGGACTCCCTTGACCTGCTTGGACCCATCCAGATTGAGTTGGGCTTTTCACTTGCAGATTCCATCGGTAGTGATGCGCCGCTTGCGCTTCATGGCCCACACTGCACATCTGACATGCTTCTGCTGGTTTGAAATTGTCAAAGGTTACGGCACCTGGCTTGCCAAAACTCGTTGATACAACCAAGCAGAGAGTTGCAAAGCGGCACGCTGCTGCTGGTCAAAAACGGTAAGGTTAAGCAACACTGAATGGTGAAAGGTACCCAAATCTTTTCTAACTTCTACCGGTAGGGCCAAGCATGGTGCAACAACATGCATTAGACAGCCAGCAAAATGTTCCTTGGGACCTCCCGTTCTTTTTTACACATAGAAAAAAGATTTTACCCTTGTTAGTATCGTTTTAGGGGGCAAAAGGTCCGCTCGGGGAATCGAACCCCGGACCACCTGCACCCAAAGCAGGTATCATGCCTCTAGACCAAGCGGACGCTACGCAATTAGTCACAATTGACCTACTAGACCAGGACATACATAGCAATCTCTAACTATTCTGGTAGTTGTCTTCAGCGTCTTGGGTCTTGTACGAATACGTTTAGCACAACAATATCGATTATGACCACAAAAATGGTACTATGTCTTGAGTCGCAATGTGGCATATGAGTTTATAATTAGCGTGAACATTTTTAGCTTGGAACAAGACTCACGGAGCAACAGAATTTCGTGTCTATGATATCGGTCTCTCTTAGTTACGGTAGTCGCGTGGGCGCAGCGTCTCCGTAGCGTGTATGGTCCACAATAGTGTGACAGTTAATATGGTACAGCAGTGCCATGCCACCGTGAGAAAGCTGTCCGCGCTGCCACTTGCAATTAATGACATGATCCCAAAGGTCAAGTCACACCACACCTCGTTGATACTGAGTAGGGCTTCAGTGCGAGGACACAATACATGCGTACCCATTAAAGAACGTTGCAAAAGAAGGCGACCGTGCATTAATCAAATTGGCTCGCAAGCTTGAAAAAATGCTTCAAAGGCACGGTGACATCGACATTATCAATGGAACAAAGTGCCCTTTGCTCGACGGAAATCATGACGGCTTCAGCCGCAAAGATGATTCAAGCTTTGCAGTGTATAGTCCAAGACGTGATGCAACCACCAAAGTCAGCGACTGTTTACGCAAACAGATACAGACTCCGACAAAGAATGTCAAGGTCGTTTCATCTCGGAAATTCCGGAGCTAATTGTCGACAATCGACCCAAGCGTCTACTTGGTCAGAAATCAGCCAATCTTAAAAGAACGAGCAAGCGGGATAGCTGGCCGCCTGTCGCGGACAAAGTACCACCAACCCCAACCCCAACCCCAGTCCCATCAAATGCGCTGATCTGACTGTAAAAGCCAAGACCGAAGCACCTGCAAGAGAATCTCCAATGCTTGTACGAAATCGAACAGTTGACTCGTTCGAGGGCTCACCTGAAAGTAATGATTCACTTGCTGGGTCTTACTCTGCTTTCACAAGCAGGCTCACCGAGCGATGGTCAGACGTCAAGGCAATTCTTCAGCGAGCACGTGAATTTTCTCAAGGTGCAGACTCAGCAACGACAGGTCGAGATGGTCTGCACAAAGAAATAATAGTGTACGATAGATCTTGTAGAATGCTGACTATGAGGGACTACATCGTCACACCCACGTTTTTGTTCAACCCAATTGAGAAAGCAAAATTCTTGTCATCGTCCCCGGCACGGTCCACATCATCTAGTCGTAGCAAGATATCGGGATAGGCCTGTACGAAGTTGGCTAGGGACCCATAGTATGCCTTGAGCTCTTGCAAGGCTGACACTAAATGCTTTCGTTTCGTCTCCGGCGATGACCGATTAGCGGCAAGATATCGCCCGACGTCTCGCGAGCTTGCTTTACCGCCACTAGCCTGAATATACTCTCTGAGTAGACTAATCAGATGGCGGGTGGTTGTATCAGGTATATGTTGTGTTGATGATTGTTCTGCGCCAGTCGCTAATCGCCGCTGCGTCGCTAGTCGCATTTCGCATTCTTTAGTTTGCCCAACCGTTTCCTTCCTGGTTGCATTTAAGCGTTCAATTACCGCTGCTTTCAACCCAGAAACTGGCAGTCCCATCATCCGACATAAATCTCGAAGTTGCTGCAAGGTGTACCCCGAGTAATCTGGGGCCGCGTCTTTGTGCAATTCAGGCGTTTGGAGCTTGCTCAAATGATGCCTCACGGTTGCTCGCTGTTGTAGTCCGAGGGCGCTGGTATAAGTCGGCCGCTCCTCCTCAGTCGCAAATGTATAGCTTTCAAAAAAGCTCTTTTCGGCAGCCGACAAGTCGGCGCTTTCTGCCATCTCCAACAAAATTGTGTCAGTCTTTGGCTTCAAGCCAATCCTGTAGCTACGAACGGAAGAGTCTCCCGATGCGTCGTCATCGAACGACACCGAAAATACATCTTTGCCTTGGAGATTTAAAAACAAGTAAATGCCACCACAAGAGTTCTTCAGCTCGTCGAGCATGACTGTCGAACCAATTATAACCGTCTTTAGGTACCGACCAACTTCGCGCGAAGAAACTGTTTTCTCGCCCGATTGCTCAATGTAGTCTCTCAACACTTTCATAAACGTAAAAACTGACAGTGACCTTTGACCATGAGGAAGTTCTTCCATTGACTTTGGAACGATTAGCTCTTCAATATGGTCGTCCAACCATATGACGTCAAAATCCTTGAGCATATCCGTCTTGACCAACGCCTGATTGCACCCTCGCTTCATAGAGACAAGCGCCACTTGCCGTCCCTTTTGTCGGGTCCGAATCATGGCCGGCATAAAGTCCTTGTCGCCCGTCAATACGACGGCAACATCGTACGCGTGCGGTACCGTGGCAAAGTGCAACATTTCCACGGCCAGTTGAATGTCAACGCACTTTTCCGACTTGCCGACCGTTTCCATCATGTGTACGTCAAAATTGGCGTGACGCAGTTCCTCAAACATTTTGTATCGGAGCGATGTGGTTGGTGTGTCGGCCTTGTAGCTTGTAAAGACGCTGGATCGAACGATTTCGACGGCGCGGCCTTGGTGCTGAGATAGTGACGACGACGAAGACGGCGTTGACAAGAACTGTACACCCGATGACTGATGCTGCTCCATAAGACATCTTGATACAATGCGCGTCAATGCCTGCCAGTCTACCCGATGCGTGAGCGGCCAAAGCGGTCCAAACCGCGAGGATATTGCGCAAGTGTTGTCACTTTGTCTTTGAAAAATGGAGTAGTAGAGCCAAGTGCCGTCTATAAAGAGCATGGCCTTAATGGGCGTAAGTTGTAATTGCTGATGCTGAGAAGAAGAGACTGAAGAGCTTGGAGATTGTTGATTTGTAGAATGTAAGGAGGCTGCTGTAGATTGCTGCTGTGAAATGACAACGTTCAAGAGTTGTTCGATTTGACGCTGCTGCTGATCCAGTTTTCGTTGTATATCTTCCAAAACGCTCGTCGTTTCGTCTTGATCAGACCTTTGATTGCTATTCTGTAGTCTAACTGACTTTCGGTCGCGACATTGAGGATGTTGTGGCGCATTCCATGCGTATGCGTAGTCGACTAGCATCATTGTTGACACGAGCATGCTCATCAGTCGAAACAATGCTATTGTCGTGTGACTTGACTGCCTTCTTCGCTGACATCGAATCGAAGCTCCACCATGAGACATTCCAACTACTACTGTAATGCTTGATCTCCCTGGTATCGCATCCTCCATGGCAGAAGAGACTGCAGAGTTTCAAGGTTGATGGACGGTGCTTGGATGTGCAGCTTGGTTCACAAACGTGTCTCGGTACGACAAGATATCACTGTGCGTCACAGAGTCGAACCAAAAATCAAAGTTTTTGGCACTATAGATCAGAGTGTAGTCTAATAACTTTGAAAATCAAAGTTTTTGCCACTGTGAGTCAAAGTGTACTTTTGAAAATCAAAGTTTTTGGCACTGTGAATCAAAGTGTACATCTATTCATTATCACATTCGTAGCGGGAATGAAAAGCAGATGGTGCGCCGCGCCGACGCACACATCCACCGAATCCTTTTCGACTGCTCGATCTCTCCTGCCCGATCCTTCATCATTATAGAAGAGACCGCTCAAATCCATTAGAAACGTAAAGAATATGAGGATGTCGCTCTTTTTCATTCTCTGCACTGCGACAAGCGCCTTTGTTGTCCAGCCGCGACAAGGATTCCACTCATCCTCCTCCGCTCTACTTGCCGTCGAAGCTTCTCGCATCAAAAAGGCCGGAGGCGGCATTCCAGTCGTTGATAGCGGATCACTCTTTTTCGATCCATCCGTAGAAGGCAAGGTTGGCGATACCTTTGTCAGAATCCAGCAGGGACGCAACTACTTACCCGCGCAAGCAACGGTCTCCATTCCCGATAAAGTTGAACTGCAGGATGCCCAGCACTGGCTCGAAGACATTGGAGTGCCAACCAACTTTGCCAAACCGACGCAGCCAGTCACAGCGACTGTTTTGGGGCGCGTCAAGCTCATTGAAAATGAAGCGCCTGGTGATATACAGCATGTCGTACTGCAGCTACCAGAAGGCATGCACTACGTTGAAGGTCAATCGTTGAGTGTCATTCCACCTGGAAAGACAATGGACGGCAAGCCGCACAAGCCGCGCCTCTACTCGATTGCCTCGACTCGCTACGGTGATTTGCTGGATGGAACCACGGTGAGCTTGTGCGTTCGTCGGGCCGAGTACTTTGATCCAGTCACTGGCTTGGCGGATCCGGATCGAGCCGGTGTCTGCAGCAACTTTTTGTGTGATCTTCACCCAGGCGATCAAGTCAAAGTGGCTGGTCCTGTTGGCAAGACTATGCTACTTCCAGAAGACTCGACCAAGGATATTATCATGGTGGCGACTGGAACTGGAATTGCTCCGTTTCGAGCGTTTTTGCATCGGCTATTCATGGAGAATACAGTGGCTCGCCACATGTTTTCCGCCAAGGCCTGGTTGGTCTTGGGAGTACCCGTCACGGCGGGGCTCTTATATTCGGATGAGTTGAAAGTCATGCAGGAGAATGCGCATGGCAGACTTGAAGTGACGTATGCGATTAGTCGAGAAATGCACAAAGAATATGGCGGCAAGCTCTATGTGCAGGATGTGCTGGCGCAGCGAGCAGATGAATTGCTGCATCGCCTTGATGCTGGAGCAATCATTTACTTTTGTGGTTTAAAGGGAATGATGCCGGGTATTCTGGAAGCATTGGAGCAAGTAGCGGTGGAGCGAGGAATTGACTGGTCGGCCAGGATGAAGGAGCTCAAGGCGAACCATCAGTGGCACGTTGAGGTATATTAGATGAATACTGTAGTCGTGTTATAATTATATGTACCATTACACGAATGTGGTAATGATCATAACGGTATGCCTTGCTGTAATAATAATAAACCGCTGTCGCTTTTGCCAAACTTACTTGTGCAAAAAGTCTGCCAATACCTTCTAGG